TGAAATCATTGAAATTAATTAAATATATTTTTTGCTGTGTATTGAGAGTCAAACATTTTGACGGATTAAGTTTACAAATCTCTGTAAAACGGGTCACATCTTTACCGTTATATATAATTCTTAAATAGGAATTATTGTCTGAATGGTGTCTATATGTCTCAAATATGACTCGCGAGGCATATGGAGGCAGATTGCCATCAAAAAAGTCGAGGGCAGAGGTGAGCGCAACGATTGTAATGTCGTGACCCGAATAAAGTATAAACTTTTCTCTATTTTGCTTTTGACTATTGTTTTGTATTAAGTGGTTCAGGAATCCGTAGATTTTAAGCCAATTTAAGTGTTTAAAAACTTCCGAAACAGCTAATTGTTTTCCATGATATTCAATGTAAGAAACGAGTTCTTTAACGTCATCGACGGTAACACATCTCTTGTCATTACATGGAAGGGCACTGTTGTGACACATGTATGCCATGAGTCCATCAAACAGTGCAATCGGAGATTCAAATAATTTACTTTCACTTATATTTTGTGCTATAATTAACTTTAAATCGGATAACAATTGAATGACTGCCGGATGTGATGAGAGAATTTGTTTTTTATTTTCATTCAATATTTTATGCAAAAAATCCAATTTTTTACATTTTTTCAGACAATATTCTGAAGTACTACAGAAATATGTGCCGAAAGTAGTGATAATATGCGGGAATTTATTGAAATCAATGGTAGACTTAGGTCTAAGGAAGCCGTAGACAAATGCCAGAGCGCTTTGATAGGTGCGGGTATAAGGGGTTGAGTAGACTTTCACATGACTCGAGCTTATGTTCAATTGATTGCCATATATTTGGCTCAAGAGTGAGCCGAGAGTCAAGTGTTGGACACAACCATATTTGGTGAGTCCTCCCAATTCACAGCGCGATTTGGGACTCTTTGCATACGTTTTGGACAGATATTTGAGTTTGTCTTTGGTTTCAATGAAATACGATTTAAACAAACTGTGAAAATGAGTCCATTTGTAGGCATTGAATGGATCGCAACTGATTGACGACAGGTTTCTGACGGCCCGCAGTGGTCCTCTGTCTCCGTGTCGGATAACTACAGACACCTGAGACAGACGGAGGTCTGAGATCACAGCAGATATGTTGAAGAGCTCCTCGTTTAGAGCTATGGATGTGAATGGATTGCAATAGGTTTGGATTCTTGAGATCCGACTCGAAGATGACTTCTCAAACACATCCCACGTCTGAGATCTTGAGTGCCCGAAGACTGGGGCCATCGACTTGTCCTCAATGTTGCCATTCATGTACTGAAAGGTGACTTCGGGTTAAGGAAATCAAATGAAATGATGAGTGAATTGATGATAATATGATGTCATATATGGTATGACAGGACTCACCAAAAGTCAAAGCAATGAACACTAATATCAATGCAATAAAAGCCGATAACAAGCGTTTCGTGTGAAAAGCCGTCACAACTGCCATCACTCGCATCACTTCCAGTGTCTTCATTCACACCATAAGCCATTGGATTTGTTGCGCTAAACAGACAGTAGTTGTACTAAAAGCGGTCATTTCATGCATGAGTCAATTCAATGTTTGTTTTGAAAATAAAAAATTGTATTTTCATAAGAAATTCACACATTTAGCACACATTCACGCCAATAGCATAGCATTATTAACGCCAACATTATCTCATAGAATACGGTATAATAGCGTTGAATGCAAACTATACTAATGGATACCTTTCATAGCGTTTACAGTGTTAGACAGAAATGTAGTTGTTCATATTCACAATTTAAATGTCTTACTTATTTTGACTGCACTTTCATTTAGCATTTACTGTAATCACTAAATTGTAACAAATATTCAGTTTGTTGGCAGACATTATGTAAAATAGTTGACTACAAGACATGTATCACAAGAAAACACTTTTGGCACACTTTGTGGTCAATTGGTGGCGAAGAAGTGGTCAAACATTTCGCTATAACTATAACTCGAAAACGAGTCACTCTTTGGTCGAAATTCAAGTAAATTGAAGTTTGATTTGAATCAGAGGTGATCTCACTCTTGATCTTAAGAATTGTCATTCTGTGAGCCCAAAGAACTGGTCAAAAGTAGTTACCTCTGACTCTTAATACAGAATATTCTGTTAAATAATATATTTATTACACATTTTGACAGAAATGTTGTGATATTTTGAGGATTTCTTACGATTTCAATGAATTAGAGCTAAGGAATGGCTATTTGGAGAGCTGTCGAAGAACTCATCCCGATCTCAATGACCACCAAAACGATGATACGAATGGAGAAGAATTTGGTGCCATTAAGAGTGCCTATCATTTACTGAAAGAATATCTCAGAACTAAAGACAATGAGAATAAGGAGTACTTGAAAGCAGTGGAAGAGAAGGAGGAAGAAGAGGAGGAGAATAAGGAGAAGCATAGAGTGGCTCAACACCGGCAGTACCTGTCGATGGATGGCGTGGGCTTTGGGACACCGACTGAGAGACAGAAGTTCTTCGAAAAGCATCGACTCATGAAAGCCACGGATCGCGTGAATGAGTTTCAGATGAATAAAATCAAATCAGATTATGATTTGTCTGAAAAAGACTTGATTTCTATAAAGAGCTCTAAACTCCAAAGAGACGCCAAAGTAAGACAAGGATTCGAGCGTTTGGTTGAAGATTTGATCCAAGAGTCCATAGCTCGGGGAGAGTTTGATAACCTTCCGGGTTATGGGAAGCCTCTGAAGGATCGACCGGAATATCCTTATTTGGATACAACTACTGTTAAATTGAATGAAATCCTAATAAACAATGGTTTTGTTCCCGAATGGGTTCTTCTCGAACGTGATATAAGGGATCAGAAGAATGAAATGAAAGCAAAACTCATTTCACTAAAGATCAGAGTTACAGTCTATGGAAGACATCAGTTATTTGCGACAGACTTTGCAGGTCGAGAAGACCAGCGATGAGGCGCTCAAGTATTTCGAGACACAGTTGGATGAGGCACATGGAGGCGCCTGGTCTACCAAACTCGACTGGTTCTTCCATTCGGTCAAACATAGCTCAAAGACTTAAGCATCAGATGGTTTATTATAGTTTTCATTGAATGTTAAATTGTGTTGAATTTTTGATAATTTTATAATTTATTCATTTAATAAAATTAAATTAAAAACCTATGAGTTTTGTTGTGCTCTTTAAGAATTCATATATAATATTTGACACCAAAATCAAGCATACTGTACAGTAATTGTCTTAGATATCATAAGTTATTTTTTAAGCATTTTAAAAGTTATATTAATAGCAAAAGTTACAAATAAGTTATAGTATTGTTATAAAAATGAGGTGGGAACATTTAACTTGATAAAATCTCTATAGTAATGTTTTATGTAGAATACAAATTGTCGATTTATGGATATAGAAACGAATACTAATTGGAGATATTATAGTATTAGATATTCTTAGAGATGTAATAAATATCTACTATTGTGGTACATTACCATAATAAGAGTTGATCAATTGTCATTGGTGAAATAGATTTAATAATGTGTTCTATATCAATATTAAAGTTATGTGAGATTTTCATAATTATTTTAAAATTCAAATTGTGGATACCAAATCATAATATAGTTTAATTTTTATATAATATTGCATTAATATAATTGTCTAATGTTTTCTAAACTAAATTCAAGTAGCTTATAAATTATAATATACACTTGCTAACCGTTAGACTATACCGTAAACCACAAAGTATCGATCTTAAACTCAAAAGTTACTTTGATGGGAATAGTTTGAGCACTGAATAGGCTACTGTTATTCAGTGAATAGCCTCTTGCAGTACACTGTACTGAACAGTATTTAAATTTAATAGTCTAACAAATTTTTCCAGTAGTTAAGTAGTTAAACAATTAAAATATTGTCAGTATTAATTCACATGAAATAATGATAACATTAAATGCAAAGCAATCTAATTAATGGCATTCCATAGGAAGCAAACAGAATTGGTTTCATTGAAACGAATAGGTTTAGTGTTGTTAAGAGCGATCATAAAAGAAAAACATTTTTCTTTCCGGTGTTTGCGTTGACTGAAGAATGTGGTTATATGTGGCATACCTTTGCATACCATACCTGCATTCCTGAGCTGTAATCGTGTAGTAAGAGTGAGGACTGAGGAGTGAGTGGCCAGTAGTACAGGTGCTCATTGAGAGCCAGTTTGCACTGCAGTTGACTCCACACGAAGTGAAGTACTTTTCAACAACTTGCTGAACGTGGCCTACAGTAGCGTAACAGAGATATCCCGAAATCAGTGTTTATTCTGAATAACTCTGAATCAGAGTTTATATATATTGTAAAAGTAAAGTAAACTACATTATTTGATGAGACAATGAATTCACTGCCTATTCTTCATAAGTTAACCGACTCTTCAATGAGGGGTTCAAACAGTTTATCAAACTTACAGTTCGGCCAAAGTTTGTCAAACACGACCATTAAGTTCTTGAATCAACTCTTCTCAACTGTATTTAGTTCTGCTCAATTTCTACACTAATTCACATGCTTGCGAAGGTTGAGAAATTCGTTACATACAGAACACTACGCTAGAGTTGTCTGCTGGTGTTAGATGTTGGTTTCGGTTGTTTTGAGGATGACTGAATGCTTTCATTTGCAAACTTCGGTCACTCCTGCAGTGAGTTTCAAGAATAGAGGCGATGGACTGGTTTCGATGCAACTCATGGATCGCATTATGATTAACGACAATGAGTTGTATTCAATGGGTATATCACACAATCACAGCGATTACTACAACAACTCCAACTTCAACACCAATCAAAACCTTCAATTATCGCCGCTTTATCTCAGGAGTGATGCTCTCAATGACTACGACATGAAAGACAAGCAATGGTTTGATGGGTCGACGGAACGCGATAACGCCGTCCAAATGCTGACCAACTGTCCCATCGGGTCATTCGTTGTGAGACACTCGACAACTCAACCAAATTGTTTTGCTCTCACTTTGAAAGTTCCCAACGATTACCATATGACAGGAATCGCACACTATTTTTCCAAATGCTGACCAACTGTCCCATCGGGTCATTCGTTGTGAGACACTCGACAACTCAACCAAATTGTTTTGCTCTCACTTTGAAAGTTCCCAACGATTACCATATGACAGGAATCGCACACTATTTGATTGTCACGACTGACAGACAAACGTTCAAAATAAAGGTTTGCAACAAACCATCCAATTATAACTCATTGCCATTCAATTAATTTCATTGCATTCATATTAAAGGGTTTCTCCAAAGAGTTTCAGAGCATTGAATCGCTTGTTATACACCACAGTATTATGAAAGAACTACTTCCCTGTCCATTA